ACAGGAGCACTAAAATGGCTCTGCATGGTCCTGGTGTGGTGCTGTCGAGTAAGCACTGGACTGCAATGTTGGTTTGAACTGTAAAACTGGCAGTTCAAACTCACCATCTGCTCTTTGGAAACCCTATGCAGGGCTGCTATTAGTTCGCCCCAACTCAACAGCACATAACAACAACTATGTGATCACACACACAAGGATAAGTCATAAAGTACTGTTGTAAAATTATAGATACCTTTATTAAACAAAAATTATCAAAATGTGAAGCTAATATTTCTCAACATATCCTCGGTCTCTACACTTCTGAAGGCGGTGTTTGCATCTCTCTAACCCTTCCCCAAGGAATTCTGCGCTCTTCAATTTATACCACATCAAAATGACAGTTTTGATCTTCTTGAAGGACTCAAATTGGATTCTTTTAAAATGTTCTTTGAGTTTGGTGAACAACAACAAAAAAACTCTGAAAGGGCATAATCAGGTCTATAGGACAGATGGGGTAAACTTTCCCAACAAAAATCTCAAAGCCTTTGTTACCCTGGAAGAAGATATGCTGTCGTGGTGGAAAATAATTCCTTGGTGTAACTTTCCTGGCTTTTTTCTCAGGATTGCACCTTTCCATTTTCTTAAAGACTTTTAAGACAAAAGTCCTGTGACCTCATAGACAATCTCTCAAGATTACTCCTCGGGAACCACAAGCAACAGTTTCCATAACCTTCTGAGCTGACCTCTTGCCTTGAATTTAACTGGTCTAGCAGATCTTCTCAAATGCCAGTTTTGATTGGGCCTTATTATTTTTTTTTTTTGGACGGCACCCCAATGAGGCTAAGACAAGTGTATTACTGAAAGAACCTGTCTGCAGCCATCTGCTGATTACAGGCATGTTTAAACCTTGTTTGTTTAGAATAAACATCTGTATGAATGAACTGGAATCCTAGTAGCAATACTTTTGGACTTATCCTGGTGTATGTGTATGTATGCCTTAACTCTTATTTTGTAGAATGTACGTGAACTACCAAATTCATAACTCTTCATTACTAATCATATTCAAATCTTATCAATTCTTCTCTTTGTGCCACAACACGTAATAAGTTCTATAGAACAGTGGTGTCTAAACTTCACTGAGGCTTCAGCTAGGAATGCATTGAATTGCAAGGAACAAGATTTCTGATCATTTAATTGCTTATGCAATTATACATTTAATTATCTCACAACAATTCTAGGGGTGGGTGGGCCCAGGGTTCATTAGTTCAGCAGCTGAAAAACCTCAGGGCTTGGGATCACGGTCTCTGCAGCACATCTGGGGCCCCATCCAAACTGCAAGGTCCAGACATCACGTTTTCTCACAGCCATATTCAAGCAGGAGGAGCCAAGAGAAAAGTGTTTTCCTTTTTGTCAGTGAGGGAAGTCTTTCCCAGCATGGCCTAGCAGATATCCCTCACACAGCCATTCCTAACTGCAAGAGGCAATCAAAGAGAGAACATGGCAAATTGGTACTTTATTCTGATTTTAAAAAAAAGGGGGTGATCACAGGAATGGCTTTTGGTTATAAGCAACAAGCGGTGTTTATGCAGCTGATCAGAATCACCTGTGTTTAAAACAAAAGTCAACTCCTGGGTTATATCCCAGACTAATGAAGCACAATGTCCCAGAAATCTGAATATTTCTAAAGCTCTCTAGGTGACTTTTATATTCACTCAGGTTGAAACTCCTGCAGTAAAGCACTTTGATATGTCAGAATATATAATGCAGTTTTGACATTCTATCAAATATCAAGACGTGGTAAACTGATTCACTACATTAAACTAAGCCATTACATTAAGACAAAACAAAGTCTTTGCCTCATTTCTACATGTTAAGTTCCAATTAAATTTTAAAAAAAGTTTTCACACTAAAAAGGAGAAGTCCTAAAGAAATATAAATTAACTCAATATAAAAATGAACTCTGCTTAATAATACAAAGAACATCCTCTCTTAGCACTAAAGCACGAAATGCTGCTATTAGTATATGTCACTAGGTGATGCTCTTTGTTAAATTTCTCTCCTAGTTTTCTGAGGGCTGACAACTCATTCAGATAGGAAAGAACTTAAAAATCTAGGTCTGATTATAATTTAATTGATACTTTTAACACCGAAAGTTGCATAGCCTAGAAAATAAATTCATATATGAAAACGTAGCCACATAAATCTATGGGAGGGAAACTTTGTTGAATGTAAGCGTAAAATGTTGAGACTTCGAAGTACTATACTGAACCTGGTACCTCTCCCCATTTCCGTTTGTTTCTGTTTTCTTTAATAAAGTTTTACATTTTATCACCAGAGTACTGGAGTGTTTTTGTTGATTTAGTCCTAGGTACTTTATGTGTTGGATACTATTGAAACATTATCCTGGTCTATACTTTTTCATGTGAAAATATGAGGAAGTAAATTGACATTACCCCTTCCCTTTAAATACTTTAGTATGTGTTTCTAAAACAACAGTTAACAAGCATGATTCCTTTATAGCATCTATTGTTCAGTCTATATCTAAATTTCCCTAATTGTCAACAAACACAAAAACCAAATAGTCTATAAATATAAAAAGGGGCATAAGCTTATTAGAAGTCAGGGCAATGTAAATTAAGAATACAATGAGATACGATTACACTAATACCCAATTAGGAGAAACGTACACGTCTGATACTACATGTTGTCAAGGATGCGGAGCAACCAGAACTTGTCTGCAGGGAGGGGCCTCTGGAAAAAGTGAGGCTTAAGATGCAGCTACTCGGTGCCCTCTACTACTCCTAGAGCTCTGTCTAATAGAAACACACTAATGTGCGTGCCAGGAGAAATATATACACATCCTCATTCCAGGCAGGATTTCTTAGAATTGGAAAAGTGATGTCTCAAATATCTCTTGATATTAGAAAGAAAAAAATACTTTGTTGAACTATTATATAGTAATATAAAATAAACAAATTACAGCTCTTGTTGTTGTTGTTGTTAAGTACCATAGAGTCAGTTCCGACTCATAGTGACCCTGCACAGGGTTTCCGAAGCTGCAAATCTTTACGGAAGCAGAAAGCCTCATCGTTCTCCTGCGGAACAGCTGGTAGTTTTGAACTGCCAACCTTGAGGTTAGCAGCCCGAGTCGTAACCACTACGCTACCAGAGCTCCTACAGCTCTTCTCACAACAATGAAAATCAACCACACAAATTTTATAAGGATGAAAAAAAAAAGATACACAGAAGGGCATGTATACAATAGTATGTCTGTTATAAAGTTCAGAACAAAAGCCTGCCACTTACTTTCAAATGATTCAGCCATGTATATGAATATCTATGTCTATGCATGAAATCCCTGGGTGCTGTGGTTAAGTTCTCAGTTGCTCACTGAAAGATTGGCAACTTGAATCTACCCAGAAGTACCTCGGAAGCAAGGCTTGGCAATCATCTTTTGAAAGATCAGTCTGTGAAAACTCTCTGGAGCAGGGTTCTACTCTGAAACATATGGAGTCGTTATCAGTTGAAACTGATTCCATGGTGACTGTTTTGTTTTTGTTTGTTTATTATCTAGAGAGAGATAAAGGTCCTAGAGTGATGCAAACAATGTGCTCACCAACGAATCCAAAGGTTGGCAGTTTAAATCCACCCTGTGGCACCACAAAAGAGTCTTGGCCATCTGCTTCCAGAAACAGCCACCGAAAAACCCTATGAAGCAATTGTGCTCTATAATTAAGGTTTCCATAAGTTGGGGGCCAACTTGAGGCCAGCTACCAACAATGACAACCTAGATAAAGAAAACATGGAAATGTTAACATTTGGGAATCTCGGGTAAGGGCATATAAATGTGCACTGTACTATCTTCACTGCTTTTCTGTTAGCTTGAGATTGTTCAAAATTAGAGATGGGAAAGAAGTTAAAAAAGAAGACAAAGTTAATTTATGTTGTGTAGGTGTGGCACTGTTAAGATCAGCACTGGACAGTGAACTACACGGTCAACAGTCCAAACTCACCAGCTGCTCCTTGGAAACCCTATACAGGGTCACTATGAACCGAAACCAACTCGATGGCACTTAACAACAACTAAAATATAAAGGAAAATTATGATAAAAGTTCAGGATAGTTTCAACTCTGAAAATAGGATGAACCTGTGATGGGGAAAGGCCACATGGGTAGCTTCTGGTGCGGACAATTTCTTTATCTGGGTCTCAGATGTATTAACGTTTCCTTATAAATATTTTAAAACTATACTTGTACATTTTTACATTTTTTCCTGTATGTATATTTCACAAGAGAAAAAGGAAGGTAAAATTTAGAATGGTATGCAAAATTATTTCCAAAGAAAACCTACTACACACTCACTATCTATTATTAAAAACACTCGGTTTTGCTTTAGAGAGGAAATGTAAGAAAGGGACTATTGCAACGTGTACTGTTTACTTGATACCAATTGATCAAAAGGTAATTACTGAGGGTGGATTTCTTTTAGCTAGCAACATAAAACTGTCTTCTTATATTTACATGAGGTAGTTTTGGTGTAACCATCAATTGTGAATCATTTTTAGCTTGATAATAGATAATAACTCTTGTAAACAATTGCTCTGTATTGTAATATAATATCTCAGTACTCACTTTGACAAATACTCTAGCATATGCTATTTAAAATTTTATTATATATATTAAAAAAACACCTCTGATGAAAGCTTTATCATCACTCAAATTTTATGATACAAAATTGATGTGGTCCATGTATAAGTTGTGACATGGTGCTGTAGGATAATGCACTGGACTGAAAGGTCGGTTTCAACCGCAAGGTTGGCAGTTCAAATTCACCAGTCGCTCCTTGGAAACCCTATACAGGGTTGCTATGAGTCGAAACATGTTAACAACAACATGTACAACAACATTTTGCTATAAGTTTCACAATTTTAGTTTTTGGGGGGTTTGTTTTTTTTTAAATCTTCAAAGTTAAAAGTTAGTCATAACTTCATGTTCTTAAACTGACATTTAACGTACTTATGTTAGTTCATTTAATTGTCTTCATCAGTGTCATCTAAATCAATATAAAAATCCAAGTCACCATCACTTTCATCTTCATTTCTTATGCGGCTTCTTCTACAGTTGGAACTTAGATTATTTTTAGTATCTTCTGTCTTTTCTGGTTCTGTATTAAACCTAATGATGATAGAAAAAATTTTAATTATTTTTCAGGCTTTTATTATTTAACAGTTTATCTTAAGAAGCTCTTGAGAACTCTCTCTCGATTAACAGGAGCCTAATGAAATCAGTGTACAGGAAGAGATTCTTGAAGACTCACTTTAATTCAAGATCCAACCAATTACAATACTGTTGTCAAGAAAAGGAAGCTCAAGGAGATTAACTATGTGATATATATTTTTTAATTGTACATATATATATATAAAGAGAGTAATCCTCCTGTGTTGAGGGAGCCCTAGTAGCATTGTGGTTTGGGTGTTGGGCTGCTAACCTCAAGGTCAGCAGTTTAAACCCACTAGCTGCTCTGTGGGAGAAAGATGTGGCTGTAAAGATTTACAGATGAAAAAACCCTATATAAGGTCACTATGAATTAGAATCGACTTAATGATAGTAGGTTCACTGGGAATCAATGTGACCCTCAGAGATAAAGATCACTCTTTCTACAGAAAAACATTTGCTTCTCTACTATATCTGGATGGACACAGACCAAATATCTGACTAATAAACTGAATAACAGATATAATGAGCATTAGAAAAAATTGAGATTAAAAGCTCAACTATTCATTTTTACTTAAAATAAAAAGCATTCCTTTTTCCTCAAAATTTCATTTTTATTATAATGATAGAAAAATTCAACAATGACTTTCTTGTCAGGTAGGGGGAACAAAAAAATCTAATTTAGCATGATATACAGCAACTTAAAACGCTGCTACTGAAGGTTTCAATAAAAGGGAATTCATGTGTCAAATACTAAAGAAAAAAATTAACATAACAGTTAATACTCACGGAATAACAATGTCTTCTTTCTTTCCACATTTAGCACAAACTTCAAGCTCACAAGCACAAGGTCTGCACATTATGTGATAAGAATCCTTCACTGTCTTTTGTAAACATTTAACACTAAAAAAGAAAAATAAAACCAAATATTATTTTTTACTAATTACTTAAGATTTATATGCATGTGAAAGTTGGACAATGAATGAGGAAGACTATAGCAGAATCAATGCATCTGAATTATAGTGTTAGTGAAGACTGATGTGACCATGGACTTCCAAAACCAATCTGTGTTGGAAGAAGCATAGCCATAATGTTCCTTGTTGCTATTGTTGTTAGGTGTAATCGTGACCTTATGCACAGCAGAACGAAACACTGCCAGGTCCTGGGCCAACCTCACAACTGTTGCCACGCTTGAGCCCACTAATACTGCCACTTTGCCAATCCATCTGTCTGAGGGTCTTCCTCTTTTTCTCTGACCCTCCACCTTACCAAACATGATATCCTTCTCCAGCGACTGGTCCCTCCTGACAATATGTCCAAAGTATGAGAGATGAAGTTTGGCCATCCTGGCCTCCAAGGAGCACTCTGGCTGCACTTCTTCCAACACAGATCTGTTGGTTCTTTTGGTAGCCCATGGCACTTTCAATATTCTCCTCCAACACCATAACTTAAAAGCATCAATTCTTCTATGGTCTTTCTTATTTACTGTCCAGCTTTCGTATGCATATGAGGTTATTGAAAATATCATGACTTGGGTCAGGCACACCTTAGTCCTCAAGCTGACTTTTTTGCTCTTCAACACTTTAAAAAGGTCTTGTGCAGCTGATTTGTCTAATGCAATACGCGGTTTGATCTCTTGACTGCTGCTTCAGTGAGTGTTGATAGCTGATCCAGGAAGAATGAGGTCCTTGACAACTTCAATCTTGTCTCCGTTGATAAGAATGTTTTTTATTGGTCCAGTGGTGAGAATTTTTGTTTTCTTTACACTGAGATGTAATCCATACCGAAAGGCTGTGGTCTTTGATCTTCATCAGTAAATATTTTAGGTCCTCATCACTTTCAGCAAGCAATGTTGTATCATCTGCATATCGCTGGTTGTTAATGAGTCTTCCTCCAATCCTGATGCCACGTGTTTGTTCATATAACCCAGCTTCTTGGATAAGAATGTTCCTTAGAAGTGAAGAAAACAAGACTTGGTCTCTTGTTCTTTGGACATATTTTAGAAGGGCCAGTCCCTGAAGAGGTAAAGTGGAGGATCAATGATAAAGAGGAAGGCCTGCCAGCAAGGTGGAATGACATAGTGGCAACAACAATGGGCTCAAACACAACAACTGTAACGATGACATAAGGCCAGACAGTGTTACGTTCTCTTGTGAATAGGATCACTGTGACTCTGAGCTAACTCGACAGCATCTGAGAACAGCAGTACATTTTTAATCATTCCTGGAGGTTTTCTATTATAAAATACACAGTAAGGAAAAACTTTACATTCACATACATGCAATTTCTACCCCTAATATATTTTCTATTCTTTAACCTGAAAGTTTACAGAACAAATTGTTTCAAAATTAATAAATATTTTGATTCTTGACATTGATTGCAATCTCTACAATGTAACAGCACTCTTCCGACTTTCTCCCTGTGTTCCCTTTCCCTTTTATCCTTCTTTCCTATTCCTTTCTGCCTTCTGAGCTTTATCCAGTAGTAAATGCCACCCTTTTGATCTCCTATTGTTATTGGTCTAATGAATGTATCTCCCTTCTATTATCGTTCACATTATTTTGTTATTATTACATGCCATCAAGTCAGTTTCAACTCATAGTGATTCTGTATGCGGTTTCTGAGGAACAACTGATAGGTTTGAACTGCTGACCTTGTTTACATTATATTGTTATAGTTGTTAACTGACATCAAGTTGGTTCCGACTCAGCGACCTTGTATGGGGTTTCCGAGGAGTAGCTGGTGATCTTGGACCACCAGCTCTGTAGTTCAAACTGACCTTGCAGTCTGGCGCATTAACCCACAGCACAACACCAGGATTGCTGTTCACATTATAGCCCTGTCTATTTTTGGCTGCCATCACTAGTCTCTCAGTTTGTCATACTGTGGTGACTTATATTTTGCTGTGATGCTAGAAGCTTTGCCACCAGTATTTTAAATGCCAGCAAGAGTCAGCCATGGTGGACAGGTTTCAGTGGAGTTTCCAGACAAAGGAAGATTATGAAGAAGGGGAGGCACACTACTTCTAAAAAGGTAGCTATTGGAAACCTTATGAATAGCAGTGAAGTACTGTGTCCTGGTGTGGTGCTGTGGGTTAATGCGCTGGACAGCAAAGTTAGTTTGAACTGCAAGGTCAGCAGTTCAAGCTCACCAGCTACTCCTTGAAAACCCTTTACAGGGTCGCTATGGGTAGGAATCGATCGACTTGACTGCACTTTTATCTGATAGAGTGCCAGAAGATGAGCCCGTCAGGTTGGAAGGCACTCAAAATCTGACTGGGGAAGAGCTAACTTTTCAAAATAGAACCAACCTTACTAATGTAGACAGAGCCAAGCTTTCAGGGCCTTAATTTGCTAATGCACCTGGTTCAAAATGAGAAGAAACAGCTGCAAATATCCATTAATATTTAGAACATGGAATGTGAAAAGTATGAATCTAGGAAAACTTGAAGTAATCAATTTGATAAACATCTATGTTCCAGGCATTAGTGAGCTGAATGGAGTGGTGTTGGCCATTTTGAATTAGACAATCATATGCTTTATTATGCAGGATACAAAAATTAAAGAGGACTGTCATTTCAGCCAACATCAAAAAGAGCACTTCAGTTGTTTGTAATAGGATAATACTCATATGCCTACAAAGATCAGTTAATACCACTATTACTCAAATTTACACACCTGCCACTAAAGTCAATGATGATGAAATTAAATAAGTCTACCAACTTCTTCAGTCTGAAATTGATTAAATATACAATCAAGATATACTAAACACTACTAGTAATTATTGATGTTTATCAAATTGATTTATTACTACTGGTGATTCCACCACTCATCTGTCAGTTTGTCGTACTGTGGTGGCTTGTGAGTTGCTGTGATTCTGAAAGCTATGCCACCAGTATTTTAAATACCAACAGGGTCACCCATGGTGGACAGGTTTCAGATGAGCTTCCAGACGAAGACAGACTAGGAAGAAGGTGTGACGAACTACTTCCGAATATTTAATCACTGAAAACCTTATGAATTGCAGAGAAACACTGTCAGATATATCGCTGGAAAACGAGCCCCTCATGTTGGAAGGCACTCAAAATGCGACTGGGGAAGAGCTGCATCCTCAAAGCACAGTTGACCATGATAATATGAATGGAGTAAAGCCCATGGGGAAAAAGCCCACGGGACCTTCATTTGCTGATGGGACAGAACTCAAAATGAAGAAAACACAGCTGTAAACATCCACTGAAAATTGGAACATGGAATGTACGAAGTATGAATCTGGGATAACTGCAAGTTGTCAAAAATGAAATGGAAAAAAAGAAAAAGCGGAACACATAAACATCGATATCTTAGGCATTAGTTAGCAGAAATGGACTTGTATTGGCCATTTTGAATATGATAACCACATGGTTATCATGTCGGAAATGACAAATTGAAGAGGAATGGTTTTGTATTCATTGTCAAAAAGAACATATCCAGATCAGTC